GAGATATGGTAACCCTAGCCAACATATCCTCAGTAGGTGAGACCCCTGTGCTTCGGGAGAGCAGATGAGCCAAGTAAACCCAAGGCAAAATAAATCTCAGTTACAATCTCAAGTGTTTTGCAATATTGACCCACTGTCCTGAGCTTGCAACTTACCTAATCCAACAGTTGCTCCAACCGCAATGGGGATAAATCCTAGGGAAGGAGATGTTTATAGTAGTGAGCCATCAAAGACTTTAGCAGATGATCAGCAGATGAGAATAGAAAGGGGGAGAGGCCAGTGCCGCAGTAACCTGGATTTTGTTTGAACGTTCTCTGTCTCTAAACATGCTGGATTCCACTTTGCCATCATCTTTGAGCATTTCTACTCCATAATGAGCCATGTACTCAATGCGCCACTCTCGGAAAGGCTCTTTCATTCTCTTGATTTAAGAGCACTGACCACCCCCAGGGCTCCTGGTAGGGTGACCAGACAGAAAGTGTAAAAAATCGGGATGGGGGGGGGGTACCTATATAAGACAAAGCCCCCAAAATCTGGACTGTCCCTATAAAATCGGGACCTCTGGTCACCCTAGCTCCCGGTGAGGCCAGCAAAGATGGCTTCTGGGATCCTCAGTGCCGTGTAGGCACAGCAGTGAAAAGGGAAATGAAGTTTCAGATGCTCCAAAAGGGATATTTAAAAGGATCAAATAAAGGAGAACCAAGGGAGCAGTAAGATCAGTGGAAGGACTCCTGATTTATACTGCTGTACCTCACCAGAATCTGGCCCCCTCCCGGTCTTTCCAAGCTAATGCTTGTCACAGGAAGCCTTTCTCTGCCTTAGTTCAATGGCAAATAGATCCTCACGCAAGCCGTGGGCCACTGGGCGGCATTAGAAGAGCAAGTTTCCTGGGCCTGCCCATGTACATAGGAACTGACAAACTGGATCAGACCCGAGGTCCATCTCTGTCCAGAATCCTGTCTCTTACAGGGGCTGGAACCAGATGCGTGAGAAGACAGTGCAAGAACCCTTGTTCTGGGCTTGTGGGGTTACTGGCTGCCTGCACAATACATGGATACAAAAACAACAAGGAGTCCGGGGGCACCTTAAAGACTAACATTTATTTGGGGCAGAAGTGAGGTTTTTTTACCCACGAAAGCTTATGCCCAAATAAATCGGTTAGTCTTTAAGGTGCCCCCGGACTCCTTGTTGTTTTTGTGGCTACCGACTAACACGGCTCCCCCCGATACAATACACGGGCGCATTAGTGGTGCCTGCGACGGAGGCCGTTCCGGGTCAACGCTCAGTTAGTGAAAGAGAAGGACCTTACCAACCATGACTGAGACTCTGACCCACACACCCTGATCACTGGGATAGCAGCTCCGCTTCGTCAGCCCTGAGCAAAAAGCCAGAAAAACACTTAGATCAGTTCTAAGACTCCACCCCCGCCCCGTGCCTCAGGGCCGGTGCCAGAGGCCTGGGGTTATGTCTGCCGCAGATAGGCCAGCTCCCGCCTAGCAAACGTCCAGGGAGGTGTCCCAGAGCCACTAACACAAGAGAGCATCAGCACAGGCCCCTTCCTTTGTGGAGCCTGAGCTAATAGCTGGGGTAACCCCACCTGCACCCCATCCTCCTCCTGCATAGCTGGTCCCCACATGGAGTGTGTGGGACCTTCTCACGGACAAGTGAACTCCTAGCTGCAAGGAGTCATGCCCAGTGCACGTGTGGGGAGCACAGATCTGCTGGGGAGCAGCACACGCATCAAAAAAATTCTAGGGTAACAACCACATCCCAGCCCCTCTGTCTGCTCTTCCCTTCCCCTGCCTGGACTGTCACCACCTCAGCATAGGGTCGTCTTTGCCCCTGTCTCCTTCCCTCGCCCCCTTGGCATGTGTGAATTCCTCCCCTTCTATAGCAGCTGCTGTGTAAACTGGGATGAGGCTTCTAAAAACCATATAATGAGCCAGCTGGGGGAAAAGCCCTGCCAGTCCCTATGTAGGTGAAGCCAGCCAGTCGCTGCGCTCTCGAATGGACTCACACATGAAAATGATTAAAGACAAAACATGCTATCACCCGGGGGGCAAACACTTCTCACCAAAGGCTCCCTCTGTTGTGATCTCTCTGTCTCAGGCCTTGTCCTCAAAGGAAACCAGCACCCTCAAAAGACAAGCCTGGAAGCTGAAATTCATAATTTTGCTAGACACTAAAAATCCTGGTCTTAATAAAAGAAGAACAGGAGGACTTGTGGCACCTTAGAGACTAACAAATTTATTAGAGCATAAGCTTTCGTGGACTATAGCCCACTTCTTCGGATGCATATAGAATAATAATAATAATAATAATAGTGTCTTAATAAAGACACTGGATTTCTGGTTTATGACAACAATCCGTAACCCACTCACCCCTTTGTCCCATGACTGCCGGGGTGTTAAATGGGCCACATCACCTGGACTGGTCCTTTAGACTAGGTGTCAACTCCGTATTCTAAACAATCTGTGCTACCTTGCCTTTAGCTGTGACGCTCGGAGTACGTCCCAGGTCTGACGAAGAGCTCTGTGTAGCTCGAAAGCTCCTCTCTCACACCCACAGGAGTTGGGCCAGTAAGAGCTATTACTTCACCCACCTTGTCTCCCCTAAAAGCTGGTAGAAGACAGAGATTCAGATGCTTTGAGGAAGGATTTGCCCCCCTCTCGGCTGTAGCTACGCAAGCTCTAACAGGGCTTCTCTACGCTGATTGGCCCAAACAGAAGGCCCGCTTACAGCTATGTGCGCAAACAACACAGGAAACGAAACTGATTTCTTAGGTTTCTATTTTCCAGCCCAAGCTGGACTTTATTCAGCCCTGAAAGAATCTTTCTTCCAAAGCCCGATTAGTAACATGAATCAGGAACGATGGGCCGTCAAATTAGGATTTCATTTAAAGGCATCAGTCACTTGCCCGGCAGTTCGTCTTTCAGGGACTGTCTATAAATGACATAACATAGTTTGGTGATTTTTGCCAAGACCCACTGACCCATCCACCCCTTATAACACTGAAACAAACAAGCAAAATTAAGGCCCCCCCCCCAATGCTTTATGTAATTTATAGACATCCCCTCACTTCTCCTTAAAAAGAAGAACAGGAGTACTTGTGGCACAGAAGTGGGCTGTAGTCCACGAAAGCTTATGCTCTAATAAATTTGTTAGTCTCTAAGGTGCCACAAGTACTCCTGTTCTTCTTTTTGTGGATACAGACTAACACGGCTGCTACTCTGAAACCTGTCACTTCTCCTTGACTCATCACCCACTGCATGCAAATGCCCTAGCCCTGGGCAGATGTAGAAGAGGTATGTCAGTGCTGTTACAATGAAGGGTCTCTTGCCCTCAGAGCAGCAGCAACTTACCTCCAGCGTCCGGTGAGCAGAATGAATTGATTGCTGTGTGATGCAGCTGTATCAGGAGCCCAGTTTCCAGGCGTCTGCCACTACATGGGTGTGTGTGCAGAGAGGACGTCGCATCCCCCATTAATAGCCGGGATGGCAAGATCCCACGCCCTGCTCCCCTTTAACCTCCCTGCCGCTGGACACACGGACTCCGGAGAATCTGCATGTTAACGTTCTTAGGGCCCAAATAGATAAAACCACTTGAAGTGCCTCCCCTTGTGATCCAGACCCAGGTGGTACAGTCCTTCTATGCCAAGACAGCAAACCCCGTCCTTGCCACATCCTAGCCGGGCAGAGTCCCACCCACCCGTCTCCTGGCCCAAGAAACAGTCTGTAGATATAAGCTGCAAAACAACGGACCCTCCCCGGGGTGCCGCCCTCTTCTGTGCGGCTGTAGAGTGGATAAAGGGGACCTCTGTGGTTTAAAATTCTGCTTGGTTGGGGTTTTTTTGCTTGTTACATTAGCCTAGACGATCCAGTGGTCAAGGCGAACTAGTGAAATGGTGTTAAGTATCAGAGGGGTAGCCGTGTTAGTCTGAATCTGTAAAAAGCAACAGAGGGTCCTGTGGCACCTTTGAGACTAACAGAAGTATTGGGAGCATAAGCTTTCGTGGGTCAGAACCTCACTTCTTCAGACGCAAGTGAAATGGTGACATCACAAGAGGCTGAAAGGTGTGTAATTAGGAGGGATTTTTAGTGACATGGCCCAAAACTCTGTTTCCGATTTGATTTTAATGCCCACGTAACTCTGATGTCCGGGCTAGACAGGGAATGGTTTCATCTTGGTTTGAGCCTGTCACAGTAATGGGGGCTTGGAGGACGGGCTGCAGCAATCCACTCCCCGAGGGCCCTAGTAGTAGGGGTTGCTTTTGTTCGAGCTTTATTGCGTGTCTTAGAGCTGAGTCATCAAGAAACAAGAAGGACAGTCAGCAGAGGTGGCAGCTTTCTACCGAGTAACCTGCCACTGAGCTAGGAATGGCTAGCCGTAGCCATGGTGAGTGGCCACAAGATTAAACCCCAGGCTTATTGCAAAGCCGGCTCAGAGGAGGATACTGGATGGATCTACCTCTGGCAGAGGCCGAGAGATTCTAGCTCTTTTTTCACTTTGACAACACTTTGCCTTGGTCCTGGCAATACACTGGCATGAAAGTGTGTGCGCACATTCGGTGAGCTATTTTTCACTGACACACAATCAACCATTTTCAGCCATAACAACTCAGGGCATTTAAATTTGCAAAAGTTTATTGATTTGTCACATTTCAGCCAACAGCAATAATTCAGCCATAATCCCAACAGAACTTGACGTCTGTTGTTGAGAAGGTAGAACAAGCAACAGACGTGCGGGAGCTGTTTCTACAGGCCACTTGTTTTTGCATTCAACTACAAAGCCATTTCTCTAACTTGCTACTTGTTGCATTAGCCTGATGGTGCAATTGAAAAACTGCCAGCGGACGAGTCGTTGCGTCTTCTAGAGCATAAAGGAGCAGTTGTAGCTTTCAGACTAAGGCACCGACGGCTGCCCCAACACCTACTATCACAGCTTTGGCAGCTGCAGGAAGGCCTGCGGCACCTGAGAGGAAACAGAGAATCAGCTAGTCAGTATCACGGCGCTGCTAGCAGGCCAGTTATCCCCCTCCCATGTCCTGGCACCAGAGAAGTCATGACTCTTTGTGCTTTCTGTATGGATGCAATAGGTTACACTGGTGCTTGGTAGAGTCCCTTTTACCAGGAGCCAAGAGGCCAGCTCTGTACTTTGCTGACCTGTCCTGATGGTGCAGCCTTGAACAGGAGTGGGATTTTCAAACAGGGCACTAACACTATTCCCCTTAAAGTCAATGGGGCGCATCCCCAGGGAGAACTGAGTGAGGTGGGTGAACCCTGAGCGCCTCTGAAGATCCCATCTGTTCCTCTACAACAGGGGTCGGCAACCTTTCAGCAGTGGTGTGCCGAGTCTTCATTTAGTCACTCTAATTTAAGGTTCCGCGTGCCAGTAATACATTTTAATGTTTTTAGAAGGTCTCTTTCCATAAGTCTATAATATAAATAAACTATTGTTGGATGTAAAGTAAATAAGGTTTTTAAAATGTTGAAGAAGCTTCATTTAAAACTAAATGAAAATGCAGAGCCCCCCCCGGACCGGTGGCCAGGACCCAGGCAGTGTGAGTGCCACTGACAATCAGCTTGCGTGCCGCCTTCGGCCCGTGTGCCATAGGTTGCCTACCCCTGCGCTACAACAATGGAAGCGAGTCCGGAGTGAGCAGCTAGCCAGAGGGATAGTGAAGAGAGAAACTAGAGCATGTTCCATCTAAGTGCTTAGCAGTTTATTAGCAGGGTCTGTGGGGAGCAGGTTTGGCCAGTCAGGGGAGAGACTTATTCCTCATTACAGGCAAGAGAAATCAGGACCACCACAGGAAAGTCAGACTCTCTCCATGCAGGCAGGAGAGCACTACCAGACACACATGCATTCCAATGAAAGGTTAGCTCCCCATTACTTACCAATGGATTGCAGCACTGCCACAGCACTTCCAGCCGCTACCCCTCCTCCATTGGCTATGGCCGCTGCTGACATCATCTTGGCAGCAAGGGTCCCAGCTGCAATGCCTGCTCCAGTAAAGCCGACTGCCCAGAGTGCTACCGGGATCCCAACGCATGCCACGCCTGCATTCATGACACAGCGAGGTTAAGCACAGTCCAGGCTCCTACAGCAATTGCTTCTGCACCAGATCCAGCCCTCCATGGACCTGCATCCGTCCACCCGCCCAGCTCCTCTCCTGGGTGGTCCAATGGATCGTGTGGTTAGCAACCAGGAAGGGCGACAGGGTCAGAGCCATATGCGAACCACGCCCTGAACTGAACTTCCGCTAATCTGCAAAGCAAGCCCTAGCAGGGTGCACAAGTGGAGCTCAGAAGCAGCATCTTGCCTTCCTAGCTCTGCTCAGCAGAGTGCATTGATGCTACAGGACCTTGCCGTATCCCCGTGGGGCCGGTCGCCCCCTGAAAGGACAGCACCGGGGCGATGGCTGGGGATGGAGCTCTCACCAAGGGCACGTACTGTACAAGGAAGGCCTAGGCTCAGTATAGCCCAGTGGGTACAAGCTCTCCGTTTTCACACCAGCAAAATGAACTGTGGGCTTGCAGGGTTTCAAAGGGATTGTCTCCAGCCCCTTTCCCTGCTCCCACGGCGACCCTGCGGCCTCATGTGGGCTGGGGAAGAAGTCAAGCAGACAGTGGCAGAGTTCTTGCTCTCCACACGGATGCCTGACTCCTGAGGGTCATTCGCACTAGGAGGGATCCCTGCACTGCAGGGGCAGCTGGTGAGCCAGGAGAATCCCTGGCCGAATAGACTCAGAGAATCTCCGGGTCGGAAGGGACCTCAGGAGGGATCTAGTCCATCCCCCTTCAATAAGTCTTTGATAAGTACAGATGTCAAGTGTCAACCAATCAGTGCCATGGGTTAGCCCCTTACCTGCTGCAACGCCTGCTCCAGCCAAAGTAACAAGACTGTCTAGGGAATGAGAATCTCATGTTAGTGGCCCAGCAAAGACATTCGCATGCTATAAACCCGTAACCATGCAAAGCCGGGGAGGTCGGTGCCCTTAGTGAGCCCCAGGGTTTTTTTTATTATTATTTGAACCTCTGCATCTAAAGCAGCTGGAGTGCCTGTGTCCAATGTGAAGGGTTTGATAAGGAGAGCGAGGCTGGGGAATTCCCTGATGGGTTCCCTGTCTCTGTAAAGCAGCATCTCACTGGCCAGGAGGCTGCGGCCGAGGCCAGGGAAGCCATGAAGAGCCTCAGCACAATGTAACCAAGGGTCAGAATAGCAGAGCAAGAGGGAAGGGATTTGGGGATGCTCCAGTCTGTTGCAAAAGGAGCATTTAAAAAAGAAATGGCTCTGAAGTCTCCATCCCATCCTGGCCCCCGCCCCAGCCATCCGTGGGAGCAGGGCCACCCTGGAGGCTGTTTGCCCTGTGGTGGTGAGGAGTCCACAGCAGATTCGTCTCAGTACTGCCAGCGCCAGGTAGAAGGAACCCAGCCAGTGAGGCTAGTTCTGAATTGTTCTCTTCATGCCACAGGCAGACACGTCCTCACGCGCTGGGGCTGCACGGGAAGTGTCCAGGGCCTCCCCCTGTTCTGGCTTTCGAGGGGCGGCTGGCTGCCAGCACGGCATGGGGACTTCGTCGGGGAGCAATTCTTGTTCAAGGCGCAGGTAAATAAAAAGCTCTTACCAAGCATGTTTGCTGCGTGTGGCTCTGAGTCTGTTACCTGGGTATCGTTGGCCCTGCACAGAAAGTGGGAAACGCAGTTAGTCCAGTTCCGAGCATCCTCCCAAATACAGCCCCTGGGGGCCAGTGCCGTGGGTGTGGGGCTACCCATGTAATTGCTGGTGTTTGTACATGCCCCAGTGTCACTAACTAGACCTCAGCTCCTTCCCCACATGCAGCCTGAGCTAGTGTCCAGGGGTAACCCATTCTCACAGCTGATCTGCAAGCTGTCTCGCCAAACCCCATTACCCTCCTAGCCACCCCCCCGCTTGGCTCTCCTGAGTGCACCCCTCCAATTGCACGTGGGGGATGCATCGCTCTGTGCTAGCACACATCCAGCTTCGCTCTCTGCCCAGACTGTCCCCACCCATGCAAGACCTGCCCTCGCTGCGCCATGCTAAGGGGGTTGCCTCTCACCCCTCTCATGCTTGGGCAGATTGTAATTTAAATTCTTGCTGAACATTTCCCCTCCGGCTGGGGGTGCAGGCTCTGGGGTAGGGCTGGGGATGAGAGGTTTGGGGTGTAGGAGGGTGCTCTGGGCTGGGACCGAGGGCACATAGAGGATCGGGGTGTGGGAAGGGGTGCGGGAAGGGGTGCAGGCTCTGTTTGGGGGTGCAGGCTCTGGGTAGGGCTGGGGATGAGAGGTTTGGGGTGCAGGAGGGTGCTTTGGGCTGGGATCTAGGGGTTCGGAGGGCAGGAGGGGGATCAGGGCTGGGGCAGGAGCGTGGGGAGAGGCTCAGGGGTGCAGGCTCTGGGTGGCGCTTACTTCAAGCAGCTCCCGAAAGCAGCGGCATGTCCCTTCTCTGGCTCCTACGCAGAGGTGTGGCCAGGTGGCTCTGCACGCTGCCCTGTCCACAGGCACCGCCCTTGCAGCTCCCACTGGAGGGGCCATTGGAGCAGGGCCATTGGAGCGTGTAGGAGCCGGAGGGGGGCCATGCCGCGGCTTCTGGGAGCCATGTGGAGCGGCCCCGACCCTGCTCCCCGACTGGAGTGCCGGAATGGAGCAAGCCCCAGACCCCGCTCCCCAGTGGGAGCTCGAGGGCCGGCTTAAAGCAGCTGGCGGGCCAGATTCAGCCCGCGGGCCATTGTTTGCTCACCCCTGCCCTAACTGCCCTGCAATTTCGCTGTACTAACCTCTTCCATCCGTGCTCTCCCTCCGCTGTGCATTAGCGAGAGACTCAAAGGAAACAGCTTTCAGATCCCCCTGCCTTGAACCCTTCCAGACTATTTTTTCAAACAGTGTTGTTCACTGCCCCCTCCCAGTCCCAGAAGATTGTCTGAGATCGACTCAAATGCATCCACTAAGAATTTTCAAAGCTCTCTGCACTTAAGTTAGACTTGGGAGGCTCTTCAGGGGGTACTCACGTGAAATTTGGCCCAAAAATCAAAGACAACCCTTCCCTCCTCCCGCCCCGCAGAAAAACAAACCAAACCCCACCCCACAATTCAAGAGCATTAGAGAAGTTTGCATAATCACTGAGGACAGGCAGGTGAAAGAGGATCCCTAGGTTTCAATTTCCCAGCCCAAGCTGCGAGAAACGAAACTAAAAGCAAACTTGGACTTAAAAAATACAGTAGAACCTCAGAGTTCCGACCCCCCTGGGAACGGGGCCTGTGTGTAACGCTGAAACGTTCAGAACTCTGAACTAAACGTTACGGTTGGTCTTTCAAAAGTTTACAACTGAACATTGACTTAATACAGCTTTGAAACGTCCCTATGCAGAAGGAAAAATGCTGCTTTTAACCATCTTAATTTAAATGAAACAAGCACAGAAACAGTTTCCTGAGCTTGTCACATTTTTTTTGTTTTTTAAACTTTCCCTTTTTGTTAGTAGTTTACATGTAACACAGCACGGTACTGTAATTGCTTTTGTTTGTCTCTGCAGCTGCCTGCTTGCGTATTTCTGGTTCCAAATGAAGTGTGCGGTTTGACTGGTCAGCTCGTAACTCTGAGGTTCTACTGTACAAGGTTTCTTAGAAGTGCGGCTAAGCACGGGAAGGAAATCAGATTACTAACGGGGAAGTTACTTTGTTGGAAGCCTTCTTTCCACATCTGTTATAAATATCGTCTGCCCCAGGGAGAGCGTCACAGAGATAAGGTTGGCAGAATTAAATTTTTAAAAATACATTAACAAACAATATTGTTTTTTAAATGTGTCTATTTAAATGGTCACAGTTGTGCAAAATTGTGGGTTTTAAGCATTTTTATAGATTTTAATTTTCACCGTTGCAGAAAATTATTGGCGATGGGCAGGCAACTGGGGTAGGGGTGTGTGTGTGTGTATGTGTGTCAATAATTTTTTAATGGCAGAAGACGTAATTCAAAAAGTTAAAGCCTTATAACCATTACGACGAATTGTCAACATCACATATCAAAATACACCTCTACCCCGATATAACGCAACCTGATATAACACGAATTCGGATATAACGTGGTAAAGCAGTGCTCGGGAGGGGGCGGGGCTGTGCGCTCCAGCAGATCAAAGCAAGTTCGCTATAACGCGGCTTCACCTATAACGCGGTAAGGTTTTTTGGCTCCCGAGGACAGCGTTCTATCGGGGTAGAGGTGTATACAAAGTAAATAAATATCCTTCATTCAAACTCTAAGTTCTCCAGCAGCATTTGTCTTACTTTGCCTATCCATAAACTTCAGTTATTGGAAATATTTTTGATGGGGGTGCCTATGAGGCAATCCACATTTACCAATAAAAATCTAACCCTTCCAATCCTAGTTAGGAGGCACCTGAAGCCCAGGCAAAGTTAAAAATGTTACTTATGTTATGGGGGAAAAGAGTAAAATTTATGGAGCTGCATGTTCCTGTCATTTTCAATGTGTTTGTTTTTAGCAAATGCAACCTCCCACCATTGCAAGGTAAAATTCTCGTATCAATAGAGCAGCAGCTTACCTTCAGCCTTGGGACAGAGGACTGGTGCACCCTCCGAGGGACGTCGCTATATATAGGGAGCACTGGACTCGGCTTTATACAGTGAACCAGCTTTTGGGTGGGTGTCTAGACCGCAGGACAAGCAGCCCACCCCGAAGGCAGGGAAAATGCCAAGGTCCCCACGCTCCCTTCTAAACACAGGTTTAGGGAGGATTCACTTGTGAGCAGTCCAAGTGTGCTCAACCCCTCGCTCCCCCTCCAAATCCTCGCCCCTGCGATTCAGAGCCAGATGGTACAGTCTGTGTGCAAAACAAAAAACATTTTCTTGAAAGTTTCCTGTCCTGCTCATGGGTCTGCCTGTCTGACAAAGGTTATCCAAAGGAGGCCCAGAGCAAACACGCCACTCGAGTTCTGCCTCTTTCTTTATTTTTGCTGCTTCCTGGTGGATAACCAAGGGCCCAAAACCCTTTTCAAAAGATTATTCTATGGGCTGTTGGCGTGACACCTCCCCAGCCTCACGGGGACAGGTTTGGTGAGGTTTCCTTCCTTGGTTTGCAAGTTGACTGGCGATCCTCAAGAGAAACGTGGCAGAATTAAAACGGAAACTTTCCTGAGTCTCCCTGAACAGTCGTCCCCCCCCCTCCTCTTTTCTCTTCCCCTGACAGGAAAAGGGGCCCTTTGTAAAAAGGCAGGTTAGTGGCTTGGCAGCCCTGGATTGGAAGCTGTCCTCACATAGCAGACCCTCTGCCAACATACCTGGGCTGGAGGGAGAGGGAAGCGCAGTCTGAGGTCCTAATAAATGTGTTAGTCTCTAAGGTGCCACAAGTACTCCTGTTCTTTTTGTGGATACAGACTAACACGGCTGCTACTCAGAAACCTGTCTGAGGTCCGTTCAGTCCTTTGTTTCTCTGCTGCAACTACCCCCAAAGGGTAGGGATAGAAGCAAGTTAAATGCAGTTGCGGGATGCAGGGAACTGTCCATTGGGATCTGAACTGAAACTAAACCTCACTGTATAGTGGGCACTAAAGCCAACCGAAGGCAAGGCACTAGCAGTGAGAGGCTGAGCCTGGCGCGTCTTCCACACCCACCAGCGTAACAGCATCGGCTCGGGAGCCATTGTACCTCCCTTCCGTCTGCGTCCTCACCAGCCACTGCTGCCACATGTGGCGTTCTGCCCCCAGTCACACGTATGCAGCCCGTCCGTCTTCAACCGGTTTCCTAGAGGCAACTGTTTGGACCGCAGTAAGCAAGTCTGTGGACGATGCACAAGGTGGAGATGGACTCTAGCTCCTTCTCCCGTTGCGGCATGGGGCTGTCGGACTAGTGGGAATAGAGCCAAAATGAAGCACGCTGCGGTGGCTGAATATTCACACTAGCTCCCCGTGTGCACGGATCCACTTCCACATAGTTCAGTCTGCAGACAACTAACTGCAACTACACCTCTACCCCGATAGAACGCTGCCCTCGGGAGCCAAAAATCTTACCGTGGTATAGGTGAAACCGCGTCATAGCGAACTTGCTTTCATCCGCCGGAGCGTGCAGCCCGCCCGCCCCCCGGAGCGCTGCTTTACCGCGTTCTATCCGAATTCGTGTTATATGGGGGTAGACGTGGATAACGTTTCTATTGCCACGTTGGACAGCTGCGTGAGCTAAGCAACACTTTGTGCTTCAGAGGAAGGTTTCTCACACCAGCCCCGATGAACACATCTGACAAAGGCTGTTTACATCACAGAACTAACTTCTACCTGCGAATCAGATCTCTTCTCCACGGGGTTAGTGCTTCTCTTCTGTCATGCCAGTGCCCAAGAAGCTAGAGACTTCTGGCTTAGCCAGTCTAACGGGCTGGGAGCAGTTTTCAGGCACTCAGACTGATTTGATCTTAGCAGGCTACCGACAAGAACAGTGTTATCAGCATTTCAGAAGGAGGGCTAAATAGCTGACTCAAGTGCAGCAAGAGAGTAAAATTGATAGAAACTCTTAAACCCAGGAGGGCGACTGAAGGCTGGCTGAGAGCGAGGGATGGGGCTCGCTAGGGATTGGCAGCATCCACACTCAGGAGCAGACAATGCATCTGATGTGAGATTTCTCTATTCAGCATATTGTCTCTTCTCAAAACCCCCCCAGGGGACAGGCATATGTAGGGTGACCAGATGTCCTTATTTTATAGGGACAGTCCCGATATTTGGGGCTTTTTCTTATATAGGTTCCTATTACCCCCCACCCCCTGTCCTGATTTTTCACACTTGCTGTCTGGTCACCCTAGGTGTGCTTGAGGGAAAAGATACCGGGAGGATCCGCTGATACAGCAACCTGCCACCCAGGTAGGATTGGGCACAGAATTCACTCCAAAGCCTCTCCAAGGGAGATGCTTATCACCACCTCCGATGCTCCCCAGGGCTTTGACTCTCCCCACATCAATTTCAAACTAACCCGTTTGTCCATTTAAAACCAGCTTTATTGTTTTCACACACACACACACACACACCATAATCAGAGCAGCTCAACAACCGTTCAAGAGAAGGCAGAACAAGCGACACGTTTGCAGTAGCTTTTCCCAGGCAACAACGAAGTAATTACCCCCCCACATCACACAGCTTGCTGCATGGGCCCAGCTTTGCAGCTTAAGGGTTTCCAGGACTGGTCAGTGTCTACTTCAGATGCCAGCAGGACTTGCATAGCTTTCATTTATCCTTAGAGAACCAGGAGCCAACAGCTGCCCCTACAGATCCTAGTGCAGTGCCCAGCCCAGCTTTAGCACCTAGCGAGAGTCCTACAGCACCTGCAAGGAATCAGAGGAACAGCTAGTCAGGATCACTACATTGCACGAGTCCCTTGACTCTCCTAGAGGAGTGAAAACTGCTCTTAGTAGTGTAAGTCCAGAGAGACTCCAGAGATCAGTGGAGTCACTCTGGATTTGCACTAGCATGACTGAGAATAGAATCTAGCCCAGAGCCATCAGCTAACCCCTGCCCCTGGCCTCTGCTGATAAGGGATAGACTGTCAGTGAAATCTGAGAATTAACCCTTAATGCTTTCTGCACTGACCCAACGGACTCTGCTATTTTAAGGCCGCTGGGTGCAGTCTTCTTCCCAAGAACTGCAAGACACGTGTGGGTTGATCACCTGTTGATCTGTGCGCCTCTGCCTTGGTTCATTTGCATCACTCATTATTGGAGGAGTCCCTGATCAGGGGTACAGTGACCCTAGTACTGTATTTATTACAAACCTGCCAGGGTTTTAGCTCTCGCCTCTCCCCCTCACGACTCCTTCCTAGAGGAAATCAATCCTTTGAGTGTCTAAACCCAAACATGTGGGTTAGTTCTTGTTCCTGCGGTGACCTGAGCACGCACCCCAGTGCAATGCTGGGATACGTACAGCATCCTTGCCTTAATTTCTGATGGCTTGATCTGTGGATTCAAGAAAGCACCTCCCTTCCATCCCTCCCGCCCCCATGGTAATCGGGACTTCCACCTTTAGATGCAAATGCTGGAAGGCATGGAGCACGGGGCCTGGCCTGACAGTTTAACAGAAGTTATAAAGCTATACTTGGTAAAATACTGAATACACAACATGATCAATGCTACTTATTTCGATGAGGTCAGGCCCAGGCTACCCAGACCACCACCATCACCAGCATACTGTTGAGTACATGCAGCACTGCCCCTGCAGGTCACGTGTTAGCAAAGTCAGCCGGTCACATGTTAGCAACACATTTGGTGAAACAATATAGAGACAGACTTTGCTCTTCCTTCTAAAGGAAAGTCAGAGGTTGTGTGGCAGTGGCAGGATCGCAAGGCAGGAGAGCACCAGACACGGGTCTGAATGAGGCTTCACCTCGTAGGCTTACCCGCTGATTGCAGTGTTGCCACAAGGCTCCCAGCAGCCACTCCTCCTCCGTTGGCGATGGCAGCTGCTGACATCATCTTGGCAGCGAACGACCCGGCTGCAATGCCTGCTCCAGTGAAGCCTGCTGCCCAGATTGCTACTGGGGCCCCAATGACGGCAAATCCTGCGTTAGAGACACTGCCGTGTTAAGCGGAGCAGTGGCTGGTAGGCCAGGTCTAACAATCGGTATAACTACATAAAAAAATTCACACCCTAAGCAATGTACTTCTACTGACCTAACCCCCCAGCGTAGACAGCCAGGGCCGCATTAGACTTGCCAGGGCCCCGGGCAGAAGCTAAGGAGCCGAAGCCCGAGTTCTGCCATGCGGGGCTGAAGCCGAAACCCGATCATGTAACTTAGCTTTGCCAGGCCCCCTGTGGCGTGGGGCCCCAGGCAACTGCCCTGCTTGCTACCCCCAAATGCCAGCTCTGTAGACAGCACTATGTCAAGAGGGGAGCTTCTCCCATCGACACAGCTCCTGCCTCTCGCGGAGGTGGGTGAACTCCGGCAATGGGAGAAGCTCTCCCGTCGGTGTAGTAGCACCTTCACTAAAGCGCTACAGCAGCACCGGTGTATGTGTAGACAAGCCCTTAGACTGGCTCCAGCCAGAACGTCCATGAACCAGCTCCCACCCACAGCTCCCACCAAGCTGCATGTCCTGACCTAGACTCCCAGGAAGGGCTACAGGGAGACTCAACCCAGGCAAGGCAGATCACTAGAACCAGCATGGCTAGGACACCCCATGCCTGGAGGGCCGTCCAGTTCTGCAGAATAGACTCAGCCCCCCCATGGGCACACACACGAGTTCAAATGCAGATTTCTGCTCCCCAGGCCAGTGACCCCACTCTTCCTCCGGAGCCGCTGCCCACTCACTGGGACAGAGTCAAGCAGCCAATGAGGTGTCCCTGCTCCCTACAGGCCAGCATGTTCACGCATCTGGAGTCTCTTTGCCATCACTCAGCATGACACCTGCACTGCCTGCAGGGGGAGAAGCTGTGCCACAAAACTCTGGATGAATTAAGTGCTTTGACTTAGCCCCTTACCTATTCCGACACCTGCTCCAATTGCTGCTCTCATCGCTTTGCTGCTGGATTCTAGGGAAGGAGAAGATTTGCATCACTACAATGAGATCAGCACATTTTAAACACACACACACACATGGAGGAAGAAGCCAGCTCCTGGTGCAGCCACCTCCACGGTCCAGGCTTGTTTCTAAATCGCTGTCTAAATGTGCTCCGCTACAATGCTCAGCAAGTACTTCCACACAAAGCAGGCACTTCCAACAGCACACATTTACCCAGCAGATCCACTTCCTGAAGGGTTCCTTTGTCCTCTTGGTTTAGGAAGGTCTCTGACCAGCCCAGAGGAGGAGACTGGAGCAGCAGGAGTGGGAAGATTGTACTCTACTGGCATTCCAGAAACGGTGGTCCAGGTAAAAGCAGCAGAGGAAAGAGGCAGAGAGTTTCAGATGCTGCAGAAAATACATTACCAGTAGCACTGGATTCTAACCCATACTGAGCACACTCTCCATGAACATCACTCGGAGCGGAGGCCTTCTGTCCTTACACACTTAAAGCAGATTTGCCTCAGTTTTGTCTGCTCTGAGGGGTGAAGTAACCATCCACTTAGACCAGCTTAGAATGTTTTTTCTTCCAGCTGTCCCAACAAATTCACCCCACCACTGGTTTCTGCTGTGGAAGTGTATCTACTCTACAGAGCTACCTTGACTGACCCTATCTCAGTGAACTTCTCCTGATTCAGGCTAACATGCGACAACGTGACCGTGCCATAAGCCAACAAGTGTGTGCTGCGGCAGGCTGTGACTCCCTGTGTCCGCACTAGCACGGCATCCATTTGTGTTACGCTAAGGCTTCTGGGAGTGTGTCCCAGGGTTCACAGCATCACTACAAACTGCACCGCTCTCCCTAGGCATTGTGGGAGAACTCTGCTCCTCGCCAGGCAGGGATCAGAGACTGCAAAGATCTAAAACCTGGAAACTCCCAAGCGCCACCTAGTTCCAGGAAGCCAGCAGGTGTGGTGGCATGGATCCTGCACAGAGCAATGGCACTCTGCTGCTAGTAGCAGTTTTTATAGAGCTACTGACGTCTTGGCGAGAGGCAAGAGAAGCAGGTACAGCCGAAAGCAGCAGTAGGTGTCCCAGTAACAGTCTTGCTCAGAGAATGGCCAGGTGTGATGTTGACAGGAGAATGTGTCAGCTACACGCAGAGCTTCAGGAGAGAACTAAGAAGATAAAGGGGAATGCTTTAGACTGAGTGGGTTCAAGAATCTGAATCTTTACAGGCTACTTTCTACTAGACCTCCAGACCCTGGCATTGAGAGGTGACCTGTACTCTCCCGTTTGCTTTGTATGATGGAGACAATAGTGATTTATAGATGCTGGGGCAAACGGCTCTGTTTTGGTACATCTCGTGAACAAACCAGCATAAGAAAGCTCATTAATTGAATACATGCAAAAGCCAATTTTTTTTTCTTCTAAAATGTGAGGTCTTCCTGGAGAGGGATGTTTCAAAACCCCTTTCTAGTGAAGGATTAGCAGCCGGATTGTCATCGTCAATATGCAACAGAATTTGAAAAGTGCCAGGTAGTTCAGTATGACCAGATGAAAGGGAAGGAGCAGTTTAAATGTTCGTGGTGGTTACTCACTGACAGCAGCAATGCGAATGCTCTTGCTGAATTCTGCAAGTCAAGCTCTCGACAGGCACTGGTGTGCTAAATGCAGCTGGCAGATGTCTCAGCCAAAGATTATTTATTTTACAATTTTTTTTTAAAAAGCAGCAGATTTGGCCATGCTAAAATGTGCAGATTTGTGTGGCTTTCACAGAATTGTGTGTGTCAAAGTTTCAAGAGTCAAAGATGTTTTGACTTTTTAGTTCCACACAATTTTGTTTGTTTAAAAATATAAAGAAAACTCAATCAGAACAAATGTCTCATTCATCCCGAAAACAAAAATTTTGCAACTTTTAAATTCACTGATATTTAAAAAAAAACAACAAAAGAAAAACAAACCACTCACCACCTGGATTTTGGCTCAAACCCTTCTCCCAAAGCAAAAACAAAAAAAAGGAGTTTTTGAATTGCCAGGATACTGAGAAACCCACCTGGCTCTCAATACCAAGTGGCATGGAGCATGTGACAGAAAGTAGGTGTTTTAATCAGATACCGGTAGTGAAATTACACATCAGAATAAGGTCTCTCTTTCCCTCCCCTGCACTGGGCGTGAATGCATGGGGTACCACTGCTGTGACATTAGCACATCTGCCTTCCTCATAGCACAGAGGGGATGTCATAGGAGCAGGACTAACGTGTTGTGCACCAGGGAGGTGTTGCCTCATTCCTGACCTTTGGCCATGCTCCCTTCTGCTGCCTGCTTGGCTAACCTTGGACGCTTAAGGGGACATGTGGATACATGATGGGTGCCTGGTTTATGAGCAGAGATTAAATAGCTAACTGTGCACTGGTGAACATGCAAAAACCCTGCACTGTTTTGCTTAGTGTGCTATAAAGAGACAATCCAACTGGGTCCTGCTTTTGAGGGGGCTAATTTCACAGCAGGATACTGTGGTTGAACCAGAGCTCCTTTGCCCTCTGCAGTCTGCTAATGGTTTTTCACCCCACCCCACTTCAAATCCATCTGGGGATGTGCGCGCTGGAGGGGGAGAGGGTGAAAGCTGGAAGTTACTGCCCACCAGGGAAGCTGTATCTGTCATAAGTCATTATTCCCACCTCTTAGTTCATAGTGTCGCCCCCCCTACCCCCATAACAAGTAATGCCAGTGCACGTCCCCCAGAGGCATGGGCAGCACGGGGACTTACTGGGCTTTGGTTCTGATTCTGGTTTCTCCTCTGTGTCCGTCTCAGCCTGTTCCTCTTGGTTCGGCACCTGCTCAAACAGCTCCTCTGCCTCCTGGGAAGGATCTCCAGCTGGAGGCGATCCCGTCTCAGACCAAGGCAGGGCCCAAGCAGCAGGTGCCAGTTCCACACATGGTGATTCACCCACCTTGGCCTCCATCTCTGGATCAGAAACCAGAACTGGCAGCTGAGGATCGAGGACCTGCATGCCCAGCATGACCTGGTTGTGAACTTCAAGGCAGGGTCACCACTTGCAAGTTGCAAATGGGAATCAGTGGAGGCCAGTGGGGAGATTCCAGCGGGATTGTGGGAAGGCATGGGAGGACTGCTTTGCATCAATGGTTAAGTTGTGGTGATAACCTTTGGCAACACTGGTGCTCTGCTGGGCCCACAGGCATCCTGGCCGCCTACAAGCTATAGTAACTCCTCACTTAATGTTGAAGTTACGTTCCTGAGAAATGCAACTTTAAGCAAAATGATGTTAAATGAATCCAATTTCCCCATAAGAATTAATGTAAAGGGGGGGGTTAGGTTCCAGGGAAATTTTTTTTTGCCAGACAAAAGACATTCTATATATATATATATATATATATATATATACACACACACACACAC